AGTCACCAGTAATGAGCAATACATCTTGATTGCATATTTGATCGATTTCAGACTGAAGAAGTTGGTAGAATTCTTCTATTTCATCTTCACTAGCTTTAGTGGTTGGTGCATAAATTTGAATAATATTGATTATGGTATACATTGGTGATTTTCTTTTCGGGTCTATCCTGCCTGGGGTTTTTCACCTTCTTGAATGCCTGTCTTCTCATCCTTCATGATGATAGGGAAAGTTTCTTCCAGCATCTCTTCAACTATCTTTTCTGTGATTTCTTTGCTTCTTCCTGTTCTGGAATTCCAGTCACCCTTAGATTATTCCTTTTCATGTTGTCCCACATGAGTCTTGGGCTTTCTTCAGATTTTTTCATAATTTTTTCTGATTGTTCTTCTGTCTTACCAGTATTGAGAGATTTGTGTTTAAGCTCAATAATTCTGACTTCCATGGATTCGGTCCTACTCCTTCTCACTTGCAGTGTATTGTCCATTTCTAATACCTTAGTGTTGATCACCTGGACCTCTGTTTGAAGTCTTTGTATTATCTGCAATGCTGTATATGGTTTTTTTTTATTGTTCTTGTAGTGCTTTTCTGAATTCGTCCTTGTTTTCTTTGACCTTTCTGTGAAACATTTGAATATACTTCAATATCATTCTCCTGAATTTTTTTTACAGGTATTTATAGTTCCTTTCATCCTCAAAAGCATTTTCTAGTTCTTCCTCATGGTCATTTGTTTGAGCTACTCTGTCTTGTTTATGCATGCGAACAAAAGTTTCTGCTGATTTTTAGGCACTGTGGTGGTGTTATAGTTGTATTAATTTGGTGAGTACATGTTGGTATATTCTTAGGCACATAACAGTTGCCTCCTGATGGGTGTGATGAGGAGATGAGCATCTCTGTTCACGTATCATACCATTCAGTTCAGAGTAGATTTAGCAGATATTGGTTGTCATCACTGCTCTAGTGTCTAGCAGCTGGTATTGGCTCTTGTTCAATTGGTGGGGTTGTAGAAGCTGCACTGTATTGCCACAGTTGATGTCTTCTGTCATGTAAATCAAGAAGAAGGAAAACAAAGAAACAAAAAAAAAACAGCCCTTGCAGTGAAAACAAAACAAAACTGGGAGTCAGTGGCTTTCTCTTTGATAATAGGTGGTGTGGTCCACCACCTACTGGCCTCTGGTTTTCACAGCACCCTGGGAAAGTTCAAACTGGCCATGCTGCATCTTGCCTCCTTTCTTAAGAACATGAAAAAATGCTTATTTTAGAGTATATAAGTCTGCATCCTTCAACAGTAGAGGCACACCAGGCATAGGATGGACTTTAAAAAAAATTTTTTTTGAGTGGCAAAAATTTTCACTGGGATGTCTTCTCTGTTTTCTTTACAGGGCACTGTGCTGAGGGGGATAGTGCTATAGTTCTGGATTTTCTAAGCATTCAGAATGCAACCAGACACGTGCTTGGATGACATCAAGTTGAAATCTACTGACTTCCTGAATGCTGTGCATTTAGACAGTGGAGGCTTTGGAAAAGTGTGCCTGTGTAAACACATTATTCTTGGATATGTGATACTGAAGAAAGTATACACAGGACCCAACCGCGCTGAGTGAGTTAAGACACTAAAATGGGATGGGAAAAATTAAGGTCTTACCCAAGGTGTAATCACTGTGGAGGTGTACGGTAGTATAGTGAATTAGGGCAGTGTGAGCTTGAAAATGAGATCTTAGTGTGTGGCCTTTACGTCAGGTGAAACAATAGCCCTACAAGTCTATTATTACTACTAACCCTACATAACACAGGACTCTGAGGCTGGTGGCTAGTAAAGCTCAGTTCTAGTAAATAGCACGAAAAATTAATGGAAAAGAGATAGAGTGAAGACAGAGATAAAAGGTAATGAGGTAACGATGAGAATTAAATAGGAGGGACCATTGAAAATAGTTTTTATTTGCTTGTTTCATGTTTTTGATGAGGACTGACCCAATGGATGAAAGTAAAGATGATTCAGTAGTTAGAGGTTCAAAGAATCCTTTTTTTAAAAAATATTTTATTGTGAATTATGTGATAGTTTACATGGGAGAACATTAGTTTTACATTCATCCTATAGTATATCATTTCATTGCTATGGTTACAATCCCCTCCATGCATCATCAACCAACCAAAGGGTATATACTGCAAGCCTGCCCCCAGGTCATCAGCACACAGCCCCTCTCCCTCTCTGGATCTAAAGTCCCCAACACTTCTATCTCTCCATGTCATTGTCTCTGCCTCCATCTCAGGCATCACTGCTTCTCTGGGTAGGGTCCCACTCTCTACTTTTCTCCCTTGATGGTCCCAGGGACCTCCGCTCTTAGGCTGAAAAGTTAATGACTCCCTTCCTTGCTAAAAAACATCTACCTTTACATTTCCAACCCTCACAAGCAGTCCAGATAACATTTATTCACTATTGTGTCACAAGAGATCCATCCAGATTTCATTTAATCAGCCCCACCTAGACAGATTGGATACTACTCAGTGGAGAGTCTACCTTCCTCCATGCCCTATGAATCTAGCTTCCCTCTTGAGAGTTTGTAAGC